ATGATCTCACTTACATGTGGAATCTAAAGAACTGAATGAACGAGCAAAGTAAACAGAAATAGTCTCAGAGATATAGAGGAAAAACTGATGGTTGCTAGTTGGGAGGGGGGTGGGGATGAGGGAGAAGGGGAAGGGATTAGACAGCATAAATTGGTAACTACAATACTGCCACAGGGATATGAAAGACAGTTTGGGGAATATAATCAGATATGCTGTAAATATTTTGTAGGGTGTCAGGTGGATTCAAGTCTTGTTAGGGAGACTACTTAATGGATGGTGTAGAGGCCTGACCACTGCACTGTACACCTGAAGCTGAAGTTGAATAATATTGTATGTCAACTATAATTGAATATATATATATATATATATATATATATATATATATATATAGAGAGAGAGAGAGAGAGAGAGAGAGAGAGAGAGAGAGTCATGGGATGTGGAGTATAGCGTGGGGAGTGGAGTCAATGGAATTGTAATACATATGTATGATGTTGGGGGGGCAGTGGATTGGGGGAGAGGGGTTGTCACTTTCTGAGGGGTGAAAAGTATAACTATTACACTGTTTTGTACACTTGAAACTAATAAATTTTTTAAAATGCAGATTCAGACTCCATTGGTCTGGGGTGAAGACTCCAGATGGTCCCTTTCTGATAAGCTCCCAGGAGACACCAATGCTGCTGGTCCCAGGACCACACTTTGAGTGTGAGGGTGGAAAGTTAAGACCTACAAGAGTCAAGAGAAGCTGATGGCTGGAACAGCTGGTAGAGACCTCCCACAGCACGTGGGTGAGCTTGAAAGGAGAGGCAGAAATGTATTTGACACATTGGAATTCCAATGGGATTCCGTGAACAGGCAGTTAGTATCATGGTCTTGATAGTGATAACAATTAATATAGGAGAGTGGTAAAAGATAAGGCTACAAGAAGTAAAGGTCAGCTGTGGAGGACTTTGACCAGTAAAGACTTCAGTTTCAATTGTATTTTGTAGATAAGAGTGAACTACTCATTCTTTTTTTTTTTTTATTGAGGTGAAATCCACATAACATACAATTAACTATTTTAAATGTTGTACAATCACCACCTCTATTTAGTCCTAAAATTTTTCATCACCCTACAAGGAAACCCTATATCTGTTAAGAAGTCATTCCCCGTTCTGCCCTCCTCCCAACCCCCGGCAACCGTCCATCTGCTTTCTGTCTCTGAATTTACCTATTCTAGAGATTCTATGTAAATAGAATCATTCAATATTATGACCTTTTGTGTCTGGCTTCTTTCTCTTCGCATAATGTTTTTGAGTTTCATCCAATTTGGAACATGTATTGGTACTTTATTCCTTTTCATGTCTGGATAATATTCCGTTATATGAATACATCACATTTCTTTTTCCATTCATCTGCTGATAGAACTTGGTTTTTTTTCATCTTCTGGGTATTGTGAGTAGTGCTGCTATGAACACTGGGGTATAAGTATTTGTTTTGAGTATCTACTTTCAATTCTTTTGGGTCTATACCCAGGAATTGCTGAGTCATATGGTAACTCAGTGTTTGAAGAACCCCCAAACTGTTTTCCACAGTGGCTGCACCATTTTACATTTCCACCAGCAATGTGCAAGAATTCCAATTTCTCCACATCGCCAACAGTTATTATTTTCCAGTTTTTAAAATTATTATTATATCTATCCTAGTAGGTGTTAAGTGGTGTGTCACTGTGGGTTTGATTAGCACTTCCTTAATGGCATCTTTTTGTGTGCTTATTGGTAATTGGTATATCTTTTATGGAGAAATGTCTATTCAAATCCTTTGCCCATTTTATACTTGGGTTATCTTTTTGAGTTGTAGAGTTCTTTATATATTCTGGATACTAAACCCTTATCAGATATACGATTAACAAATATTTTTCCCATTCTGTAGGTTGTCTTTTCAGTTCCTTAATAATGTCTTTTGATGCACAATAGTTTTCAATTTTGACGGTCTAATTTATCTATCAATTTTCAGTGTTGTTGCTCATGCTTTCAGTGTTATATCTAAGAATCCATTACCAAATCTAGGTCATGAAAATTTACCCTTATGTTTTCTTCCAAGATTTTTATAGTTTTAGTTATATTTAGGTAGTTGATCCATTTTGAGCCAGTTTTTATATATGGTGTGTGGCATGGGTCCAAGTTCATCTGAACCATTAACTTTTGTTTGTTTGGGCTCTTACATTTTTTTCGTAAGAGAAATGACAGGCAAGGAGCTGCAGTAGTTCTCTACCATGGCTGCTTTAGGGTCACCTGAGGAGCTTTTAAACCTCCTAATGCCCCAGCTGCACCTCAGAACAAGTCTATCATCGTCTCTGAAGGTGGGCCCAGGCAACAGTAATTTTTAAAGCTCACCAAGTCATTTCATTGGGTAATCCTGAACTAGGGTCCAATGACCAGCCAGCATGGTTTTCCTGGGCCTGAGGGTTTCCTGGGACATGCGATTTTCAATGCTAAGACCAGGAAAGTCCTGGGCAACCCAAGACAAGCTGGCCACCCTACTGATGGTGCTTGAGTCTTGAACTTATTTAAATGTAGGCAGTTGATAGAACCCAGCCATGTTAAACAGCTGTGCTTTGGAACATTTGACTGTTTGACCTGGAAATGCGTGGGGATTTGGCCTCTTCGCCATCTTTGTTTTGCCCCTCTGATGGTTTCAGTAATGCTCTCTTGGTCAGAAGACATTGGAGAAATCTGTGGAAACACCTCTTCACCCATAGCCCCCAGTCTCTATTTCTTCATCTCTAGCCAACAGACCTCCACCACTGCAATAAGGGACCCAAATCAAAACCCAGAAAATCGCACCTTTACTTATTAGCAAGATTTTCTTTGCTTGAGTAAAGGCATTCCCATATGCTTTACATTAAGCCAGTGGTTCTCACGCCTAAGCATGCATTAGAATCATCTGGAGAACTTGTTAAAACACAGATCTCCAGACCTAACCCCCAGAGTTTTGGATTCTGTATGTCTGAAACAGGGCTCAATATTTGCATTTCTAACAAGTGCCCAAGTAATGCTGGAATGCTGCTCGTCTGAGGACCACACTTTGACAACCACTGCCCAAAGAGAATGAAACCACAGTATTACTATGCCATTTCTCTCCAGAATAAAGGGATTTAAAAATTCACATTGAGGCAAAAAAACAAACAAAATCCCAACACACACACACACACACACACACACACACACATACACACACACACACCACTATGCGTAGAGGTTTCCTTCTGGGGGTTTTCTGCACATAACCTTCTATTTCAATAGAACCTGCCACTCCTTAAGTTGACTGCTCGAATTTGAGCTGACGGGTGCCTGACCATGGGTATGGGGAGTTGAAAAGAAGCCAAGCTCCTTCAAGCTGAGGGCCACTCACCAAGGAGGGCACAGGCCCCATCATAAAACAGCTGGTGTCTCTGTTCTAAGGCATAAGCAAGTCACGCCTGAAGCGTCTCTCCATTGGGAGGGAAGCAACCCTGGTTCCCTTTCTTTACACTTGACTTCTTGTGTAGGATTGGCCATAGGCTGCAGCCACCCAAGGCAGCCTTCCAGGCTTCGGAAACCAAGTGTCCAGCCTTGTCATTTCTTAATGGCACGCCTAGAATGTAAGGTGATGGAAGGCTCTCGAGCAGGGCAAAGTAAAGGGAGCTGAGCGCTCTGGGTGGAAGAGTCAGCATGTGGTGAGAGACACACATACAGGGCTTTACCTCTAGCTCACCACCTCTGCTAGCAAACCCTTCCCTACCTCCCCACCTCCCCACCACAACACAAAATCTGTGACCTAGTTCAGCCTCACAGGTTGTCAAGCTCATCTCAGTCTTTGGTGCAGGAAAAGCATGTCTCACAGCTGGCTGGACCTCCCACATCTGAACCCCCCGGAGTGCTTGTTATAAACTCCAGGCCCACCCCATAACTATTGGAGCTGAATCAGAGGGAGCATAGGCTTTTACAAGGTGCCTGGTGATACTACACACACACTGGTGTATAAAAACCTCTGCACTGGAAATGAGATAACCCCAGAATTGACATTCTCCATTAACCTGAGGCCATGCATCAGGAAAGGCTCTGAAGTCAGAGGAGCAGCTGGGGTTCAAGGCAAGCGCCAGTGTCTTCGCAGAGAACAAAGGATTGAAGGCAGATGTTTGTGAAGCACCTTGAATTTCACTTTCAAAATAAAATGAAAATCAAATCAAGCTGTACAGGTTATGATGTGTGCACTCTTCTTGGATACTATTCTTAAATTAAGTTTCCTTGAGAAATAAAATGAAATGTTAGGCAATTCGGGGTCCCCAAAGCCCCTCACCTAGAGCTTTTTGTGTCTCTCGAGCTTGCAGCTTCTTAAAAACTCCCACCACCCAAATGCCCTCCCTCTTGCCTGCAGTGTGCTCCCTTCTCCTTTCCGACAAATTGACTCCTTTAGACCCTATCCAATGGAACAAAAAGATGATTTCCATCTGTCACAATACAGGATCTCACAGAGGAACATTTAAAGCAAACTACGGAAAAACACAGTACATGGATTCAAAGGCTTCTTAGGTATTCTAACTGTACCTACAAGCCCATCCACTCACCCCCAAACAGCTCTTCTTTGCTATGAGAACTAGGTTTTTTTTCTGGTGGGTTTCTCTGGTCATCACAGGTGCCTAGTCTACTGTGGCCGAGGCCGGGAGGCCACCTGGCCACCTTGAAGCCACAGGCTTGGTTCTGCAGGTAGTTTCATGCATCCCTGCGTGTTCTTCAATGACTTCCTTTGGGAAGTGCTTCCTGGGCCAATGCCCTGCCTCTGTCTTTACCAATTCCCCACTCGCTGGCGCTTGGCTTGAGTCCCATGTTGTGGTTCTACCTGGTCTTCCTGAACAGACATGGATTTGGGGTGACGTAGAAGACTGTTTGGGGCTTTATGCTCCTAGTTGCCTTTGCAAATTTAAATCCTTCTGACTCGAAATAGTAGGTTTATGGTCAATAATCCTTTCACTTATTGAAGGCAAAGATATATGTATTATAAAGTTCGGAATTGTACAACACTTGCTCTTATCTGTAAAATGAGGGGTAGAAACTACATATTTGATTTCTAATAATCCTTTCAATCCAGAACTTATCAATGATGATGATGATGATAATAATAATAATAATAACACCATTTATTGGACACGTCTGTATGCTAGGCACTATAGTTCGCACTTTGTATACACTTCAGTGGAAGCTGTTTTAGCTGACCCCCGTCTAACCAACTTGCCAGGTTAACCACACTCTCCAGGCCCTCTGTGAACTGTACCAACCAAGGCTTGTGGTGGACAGTACTAACTCTCAACTTCTGCTCCACTAGTCCTTACATGCTGTACTTGTTATTGTGACGGTGAAATTTCAATACTATAGAAACTGATGAAATATGAGTATGCAAAGAAAGTTGTTTCCACGAAAGCAAGGTTGAATGTTTTAGAAAGATTCTACAATGGGAATCTGTTAAGAAAAAAAACAGAACAAAACACACCGCCCGCCCCCCGCCCCCCCCCATCTAACAAGGTGTGGGCAGTAAAAGTTCGGGAAAAGGTTTAATAATTTGGAATGATTATTGGAATTAGAATGATTCTGCAGAAAGTGACTTTACAAGTGTCTTCCCAGATGTTGTTACATTCTCACTACATTGAAAGAAACCCAAACCAGAATTCATAGATGAGGTATTATGTGCATGGCTTATGCAAGAAAGATGACTCAAAATAACAGCAACTAGGGGGAAAGGCCATGGCCCCACATTAAAGATTGGGAAACTGTATTTTAAGGTAAAATAAAATATTTGAGGTGGGTATCGTCTTTTATAATTGTCTGCTTTAACCAACCTTTTCCATTAACTCTCTAAAATCTCTCAAATAAGAGGCCTTTTCTGGATTTCATTTAATCTTTACAATAATCTTTACAATAATCTTGAGAGGTGGGTTTAATTATGTCCAGTTTAGAGAAGGGGAAATCGGGACTAAGAGTAACATAAATCACTCACCGGAAGTTAAATAGCTAGCAGTGGCCAAGTGGAGTTCCAAACTCCAAAATCTATACTTTCCATCTCTACGTTCAAATATACACCCAGCCCCTAGGCAGTGTCCTGTGTGCTGACACACTATGTAGACACTTCAGTTGGAAGCATCGCTATCTTCCCTTCAGTCCCCTGTCATCCTAAAGCTGTTTGCTGACTTAATATAATGGTCTCTAATCCATCTATTGATTATAGATGGATCGATATAGATTGGATTGACATAATTTGTGAAAAGAAAGAAGAATTGGCTTCATGGTCAACATTGCCCACTTCAGTTTACAAAGAGAACGTCAACTCCCTCTGATATCAGCGACCCGAGTGACAGGCCAGAAAGGACTGGGGAGCCCCAGGGGACCTGGCCTTCTCCCGCTGCAGCCTGGGCTAGCCCTTACCTGCGGCCGTCCAATGGTGAGGTGCTGCGCCTGCGGCTGGAGCGCCGGTCCAGGGCGACTGGGAAGGTGGGGCTGCTATTCCCGGAGTGGTAGCCAGATGGGATGACTCGGTTCAATTTTCCTAGCCCTGAATTCCTAACACAGAAGAAAGAAAATGAGAAGGTGAAGCAGGGGGTTTGTTCAGGATAACGGGTCGGCACAGAGTGTTGGAAAGTGAAGGGGGAAAAAAATCAAAGTTTCAGTGGTATTGGGGTGGGGGAGGGAATTGTCCTCTGCTACCGACAAGATTATTCTAGGTGGGCACAAGCATCACTTTTGCTCTTTACCTCCCCAAGCTGTGCTGAGGTGTTTTCCTCCTCCCCCCTTGCTGTATTTCCCCCTTATTCTCCCCTCATTCCGAGTCTCGCCCACACTTTTCTAAAGAAACGACTGCAATTCTGAGGGTGCCTCTGCACCAAATGAAAACGGCTTTGCCCAGTACCGTTCCCCCGTGCCGCCACGAGATGGCAGCATCACTCAATGGACGGGTTCCAGGCAGCCTCCGCACAAAGCCGCTGCTATAGCGCTTCCTTCCGTAATCCTGTGAGAACTGCTTTTAATCTAAGGCTGGGACACTGTGTTCCAGGCCAAGCAGCCTCACTGTGACTGATTGGTGCACCAACAACTTGAGCTTTAACTGTTGATGCCCCTTCTGGTTCAACAAACACCACAGGTCCTGAAAGGACTGATTTAAACTCTCAACAATTTAAGTGATTTATTGGTAAAACAAAACAAACCAAAAACCAGGGTGTCATGGTACTTGCAGAACTGCCCTCATCATTCTTCCTTCCCTGGACTCTTCAACCACGTGCCTAAATCTATTTATCAGTAATTATTTATTGTCTGGTCCTGTGTTGGATAATGTGAGTAATATGTCCTAAAAGGGGAAAACAAGGTTACATTTTCAAAGTTCTAGGAGCATATTGTTATGCTAATAGATAATATTTATTGACTATTTCTATGTGCCAAACGTTGGGGTAAATAAATATTGCATAGACTATCTCATTCGATTCTTACAACAAACCTAAGGTAAGTACTCTTACCATCCCCTTTTTAAGAGTGGGGAAATTAAGGCACAGAGAGATGACCTTGCCAAAGGCCATGGATTTAATTAGCGGCAGAGTTAAAATTTAACCACAGGCAGTCTAATTAATATCAGAGCTTAGACTCTTAGCCACAATGCTAGGCAGTGGGCAAGTTTGGGAAATCTAAGAGATAGGTGAACAGATAGAAACCAGAGAAGTACATCAGAATGGAAGGTTGAAAGAAAAAAGTGGAGGAGGGAAAAATGATGCTCCTAAGAAAGTAAGAATGAGGCTAAAACAGCACCCTCTTTGGACTGGACCCACAAGGGCACCCCTGGTGACCTCTGCGAATGCAATTTCAGCAGCAATGGAGAAAAGAAGCTAGCCAATCTAAGGGGCGATGTGGAAAGAGGAAATTGAGATATCTAGCTGCAAAAGGAAGGCAATAAATAGACTAGAAGAGACAGCAAGGTCAAGCAAAGGCATTTTGTTTTTTTAGCGTGCTTGTAAAAATAGAATAAAGCTTGGGCATGTTAGAAAGCCGTTGCAAAGGAGATATAAGATATGGGCGTGCAAGTAAGTAGTAAGAAGTGGACTAGGAAGAGGCGAAGGGCGGGACCAAGGTGACTGGGACAGGGTTAGCTATGGAGAGGAGGAAGAGAGATGCCCCCCTTTTTGTGTGAAACTGGGTGACAATCACAGAGACTGAGATGTGTCAACAGAAAGTGAGAAGGATGAGTAAGTTCAAGTCATCAAATTAGCCTTGATCTTTTCAGTAAAATCAGAGTTGGGTTAACTGCCAAGAGTGGTGATACGATTAGGGGAGACATCCTTGCACTGAACTAATCCATAGAGTGCTTAGGATGACCAAAAAGCAGATACAATTAAACCAGGCCACAGAGGAGGCTGAAGAAGAGAAATCTGCACTGCAAGAATCAGGATTCTCTCTGCCAGATCTCACTGGTGAACCGGGACTGAAATGTATCCCCACGGCATGGACAGAAACACAACAGATACACTAGGATACACTAGTAATGACCCCTTATTCTGAAGTTTCTTTGTATTCAGGTATTGAGACATTTGGCGGAGAAATAGTGTTTTTCCACATTTGCCAAATGGGAAAACTAAAGTGCAGTCAAGTTTTCTTTGTGGCTTAAAGGACCAGAATTAATATGCAGAGGCCTTTCTGATCCAACTTGACCTCTATTAAACACGTCTCACAAAGGACCTGGACGTGGCTAATGGCTCCAGAGAGTCCTAGCCGTAGCACAAACTTGGGAAGCATCCGAACCAGGACATGATGCCCAAGAGAACTAAGAGGTTCCGTAACATGGCTTCAGGGAATTCTTCAGGGAATGAGGGGCAACTTTCTTTGATAATTTGATGGCCACATATTGATATCCTGATGCCATGATGTCTTTCATACACCAATAATTATTTAATTTTATTGTTTAACGACTCTTTTCATTCTCAGTTAATATTTCCTTGTCATCAGAAGTACCTTGGGGCTGACCCAACTGGAAAAAGTCAGAGGGTAATTATCTAGTCTGCACTCCTGAAAAGGACAGCAGGCAGAAGTTAACAATTCACTTTCGATGCAGACAAATGACAGTCACCCATCAAAATACTGTCTCTCTATCATCAAGATTTCCAGAAGACCCTCTGTCTGTGCATTGCCTAATCAGGAAACTTGTCTAAAAGGGATGGTTTTTCATTTCCTCCCTCTCATCTTGTTTCAGGAAACACCCACAGCCAGACCAAGCCCTCTCTTGATTTTTCACTTCCAAAAAAAAAATGAAATCAGCCGCCTCCTCAGCCACAAATTAGAAATACCAACTTCTCATTCTTTCACTCTTCTTCAAATGTTTGTTGAGATCCTACTTTTGACAAGGCAGAGTGCTCGTCAGGTGGCACAACACTTGGACTGTGAGCTCCAGGAGAACTGGCTGGGAGAGGGGTTGAGATGTGGTCTTCTGTGTGCGCAGGAATCAGTAAGTGCCGCAGAGAGGAGCTGACAAAGAATACAGAGTCAGCGGGCAGTCCATCAGGAAATCTTCCGTAAAGGAAGGAGCATCTATACCGGGGCTTACCAGAAACAGAGTTGAGCAGACAGATTCAGAGAAGAAAGGCATTCTAGAAAGCAGGTGCAGCACAGGTGTGGGTGCCCAGCCAGATGACCTCGGATGAGCCAGGTAACCTCATGTTCCCCAAACTCTTCCACAAGCCACCTGCAATGATGGTAGAGCCCAGAGCTGCCGGCAGCAAGCGGACATCCCTTGGGGGGTTCGTCTCAAACTTCAGGCCCTGCTGGCTGCCCACTCGACTACACACCTGGTTTGTTTTAATATAACAGCAATGGTCTTTTTGTCTCAAATCTTTGAATAAAGTAGATTTCTCAGGGAGAAGCACCAGCTTATCTCTTGGCTTCAAACACCCTCTGGCACAGGGAAGCACAGTCCACGCCTTCTGATACCCGGATGGGGAAGCCGACCGCAGGCTCCCAGGTCTGCAGACTCTACGCACAGAAAGCTGCTCTCAGCCGTGTCCTTGTCCAACCCACCATCTGGCTGTCCTGCCTTCTCCTTTCCCGGCTTTATTACTTGACAGTCCTTCGTAGTACCAGAATGCAAGAATAAGCCCAAGCTCTTCCATAAGGAGCCTGAGATGATCTCTGAAAATGGTTAATTACTCACTTGACCCAGAAAACCCTGTAAAATTATGCAAGTCAAGAGGTTCAAATCTCCATGTTCACTTTATGAACTGCCATGAAACTGACCAGACCCAAAGTATGCATATCTGAAAAGCCACCAAGTCTCTGAAAGATGTTACTTTACAGAAGCAATGCATGCCACTCCATTGTTACAATAAATAGGGGGGGGGGGATGCCCAAACCAAACAGCAGGGCAGGACACAATGTCGATGAGCCCAAAAGAGTGCTGACCTTTTGCTGCACATGCTTAAAAATGCAGACAGTAATGCTGAATGTAAGAGTTTAGAAGTCAATTCTCCAGTCATTGAACTCATCCAGATGAACAAAGACCCCAAGATGCTCTCCAGGCTTACGGAGCTCATGACCAGATTAACCCCTACCTGAACCCCTCCTGCTACAATGAGATGATTCTAACTGGAAAAAAAAAAAAAAAGAGTAGATTGTGGCCCAGAAGAAAAAGATATCCCAGAAAAAACTGAAGAAACAAAAACTTATGGCCTGGGAATAAATTCAATAAATGCAATAAATGCAAATAAAAGTTAAAAAAACTAAAAGAAGTTCAAGTTTCAACACCTTTCCTATCTGAGACATTAATTACCCCACTCCATCACTAACACCCCTACTTCCAGAAAGGAATCATAAACTTATATAAACATTTTCAGCCCAACCGTTTAAATCTATAGCAACCTGTGAACTACGCTGGACAATGATGTTTCATAGAATCGGCTGAACGCAGAAAACGCTGTGCGCTGTCGTACCTGAGCGAGGCAACGGGGACTGCAGCGCAGCTGGCTTCTGCCTCCGAATTCATCCTGATGAAAGGCGAATGGAACGAATCCCAGGAACTTCACTGTCCTTTAAACAAGCGTGGGACCTGCCGTTAACTGCATTTTGTCCTTGAAGATGAAACATAGAACAGATTAGAGTTTTATCACAAGAGGGAAACACATAATAAGCCCTTTTCAGGCTATCTGCCCCTGATAACTGCTAGAAATACATTACAGGCCGTGCCATGTTGCCAACTTTGAAGATTCTCATATTAGTTTCTTATTTCTGCAAGGGCCCAGTGGGAGAACGACACGTGCTTTATGGATGACGAGAACTGAATCAATAGACAGCACATGAGAGGCCAAGTCAACCCCACAGGCATGACCCTGTGTTGTTTTGTCCCTGCTTTTAACATCCCACAGCATTCTCTTGCTGTTTGGTGCCTTTGTCCTCCCAGCCTTGGGGGGCAGGGGTGTTGGGATGGGGGCATCACTCTTATGCCTCTTTGACAAGGAGGGAACTTGAGGGGCAGACAGAGTGAGTGGGGACTTATCCAGAGCCTTAAAGGGAGTTGATGGGACTGGGTTCTGCTTCCTCTCCTGCTTTGACCCGCCACAGCGTTCTGTGGGTTCTGTCACCTCTAAAGGCTATTCTTTTTTCTTTTTGTTTTTTAAAGATTTTATTGGGGAATTGGGGAAAGGGAATAGCCAAGTTGTTGTCTTTCAGTCTTAGTTGTAGAGGGCGCAGGTAGCTCAGTTCCAAGTCCAGTCGCCATCTGGCCGCCTGCCGGCAGCTCATGGCCACTCAGCTCAAGGTGCCGTGTTCAATCTTAGTTGCAGGTGGGCACAGCCCACCATCTCATGGGGGAGTCAAATCGGCAAC